GAGATTTGTGAACTGGCGGTGGTGGGGATTTCTTAGGTGGTGGTGGTGGTGGTGGTGACTTGTAGACGGGCGGTGGGGGAGATTTGTAGACTGGAGGCGGTGGAGATTTCTTAGGTGGTGGTGGTGGTGACTTGTAGACTGGCGGTGGGGGAGATTTGTAGACCGGTGGTGGTGGTGGAGATTTCTTAGGTGGTGGTGGTGGGGATTTGTAGACTGGCGGCGGGGGAGATTTGTAGACTGGTGGTGGTGGTGGAGATTTCTTAGGCGGGGGTGGTGGTGACTTGTAGACTGGCGGTGGCGGAGATTTGTAGACTGGTGGTGGTGGTGGTGGAGATGTCTTGGGTGGTGGTGGTGGTGGTGATTTGTAGACTGGCGGCGGGGGAGATTTGTAGACCGGAGGTGGTGGTGGAGATTTTTCAGGTGGTGGTGGTGGTGGTGGGGACTTGTAGACTGGCGGTGGTGGAGATTTGTGAATTGGCGGCGGTGGTGGAGACTTCTCCGGGGGTGGTGGGGACTTGTAAACATAAGGCGGAGGTGGAGGAGAGGAATATTGGTAGGTTGCATTGGCTATTGAGGGGAAGCAAAGTGCAAGAATTGCTACTATGAGAGTGGCAACTAGAGGAGGAGCCATTTTGGAGGCCTTTAGCTTTGTTCCCATGTTTTATTGGGTTTTCGGTTGTGTTGTTTGCACTCAACTTTGGCCCCCTTTTATAGATTGGGTTTCACCTTTTTCATGCATGATTAGACACTGTTAAACCCTTGTGTAAATTTGAAAATAACTATTTTTTAATTTTTACCCTTTGATTAGTTTTTTTTTTATTTTTATTTTTTTTTGGTACATAACCCTTTGATTAGTTGTCAACATGTGTTTGGCACAATTTTGACTTTTTGGACTAGAGAATATCGTTTTATCTTGTTGAGCTTGGCTGGATTTTTGTTTCCTTGTGGCTGTGAAAAATATAAAAATAAAGAAGACGCGTGATATTTGTTACTATAAAAAAAATAAAAAATAAAAAAAAGGCCTTTTTGATGCAATTAGTCAATGTGGGATCAGAAAAATAAATAATTTAAAAATTTACCGTTTGCCAATCTTTCTTTAGTTTGGTAGATCTTTTGTTGTACCGTCCTAGTTTTCGGCTGATATATTTTTCTCATAAGTATACATACTTTCACTAAAAAAATTTAAAAACAAAGTAAGCATGGGTATAACATTTGATAGTATAAATATGTATTTTTGTTCAGATAGTATAACGAGTCGATTCGTCTAGCTACCCGTTAGGTTGACTCATGCAAAAATTTCCGTTTATATGAATGAATCAGTGATGCTAAAAATAGCTCTAGTAACGTGTGTGAAGAGACTTATTAAAATTTTATGTAAATTTAGTTGAGGGGACCAGGCATCCTGTCTCCCTGAGTTGTTCATATTTTTCTGCAGTAAATGAGCAAAACATCTATTGAAGGAAACAAAGTTAGAGGAGAAAGTAGTTATAAAATAACACCTAATAAAATCTATATTAATTCATGCAAGTATTTTCTTAATTGATGTAACTATTCAAAGGCACTTAGAAACATGTATAGTTTTAAGGCATAGATTAGTAATCAATGGGAGCATTTTACAATTTCTAAGAAGGCTAACTATTAAGGAGTCTCTTTAGTTATTTTTTTTTTTTATATAAAAATCTTACACTATTAAGTTTTATAATTTTATTTATTTTTTTTTTTAACAAAAGTTAACA